ACCTTCAGGGCAGGGTAGCCGTTGGCGCAGGTTGGCTCGGGCACGTGCGGGCACGGGCGCGGCCCCACGGTGATGACGTTGTTGCCCTCACAGGTGGCCTGGGAGCAGTTAGGCATGGGCCAGGTCTGTCCTTTCTGCGGGAGCAAAGACAGCTGCAGGCGCCCGCCCAGCCACCCCTCCGCGCCCAGGGAACGGGTGGGGACCATGCTGTGGGGTCCAGCACTGGCCAGGCCTCCCGCCCCCATCCCACTGAGTGCCTACTGCCGGGCTGGCCAGGAGGGTCCCTGATAAGAGGGTGTGAGGGTTGCCGCCTCCCTCTCTTTCCATTTCTACCCTGTTCCCCACACGTGGGTTGTCCAGGCTCCACTCCTGGTCCTCTGCCCTGACCCCACACACCCTCCCTTGCTGTCGGGCCCTGCCCAGAGCACTAGCCACCCGCTCCAACCCCCTTCTCCCGGCCACCTGGTGGACACAGCCCTGCGCTCAGCTGCAAAGTCCGGTCATCACCCACTGAAGCCAGGGCCTAATTGGAAGGGGGCTGGGGTCCCACACCAGCCCAGAGCCCCCAAGAAAGGCGGGAAGGGGAGGTTACCGTTCTTGGAGGGACAGCATTGGGGCAGCCTTGCGTAGTGACAGTCACAGGGGCCGAAGTGGAAGAGCCAGGTGGGAGAGTCGCCGGGGCGGGAGGTGGCGTGCTGGTGGGACAGGCGTGGTCCATCTGCCGCACCACGTGGCAGTCCAGGCTGCACACGGAATAGTAGCAGTGGCCGGCGAGGTCCGCCTCCTGGTATATGATGGACCCTGCAGACAAAGGGACGGCCGTCAGCAGTGCCGGGAGGGCAGGGCGGGGCCAACCGCCCACGTGGTCCACTCCAGGGCTGATCTGGTCAGCGGCCTTCCGACCAGATGTCCGTGAATAAAGGCTCGAAGGCGGCCCAGGTGAAGCTGTGATCACAGCGCCTGTTTGTGGGTCACACTGTGGCTGTGTGAGGAAGGGGGACCCGTGACGGGGCAGCACAGCCAGGCAGCCGTCACCTACCTGCGGGGTAGAGCTTGTTGGACACGCTGCAGTAGCACCTCGGGACTGACGGCGCTGCCGAGCTGAGGGCGGTCACCGTAGGAACCACGGAGGAGGGCTCTGTGGTGGGCAGGGACTTGGTAGAAGTCACATAAGGGGTCACGGAAGTCAGAGGGCAGCCTGGTTGGGGCTCACAGCACAGCACGCGGATCTCGTAGTTGAGACACATCTGGAACCTGCCCGTCTGGTCTCGGTTGTGGCACACCAGGCCCACGTCAGGGCTGCACTGCACCACCTGGCCCAGCCGGTCGATGCTGACCTCGGGCTGGCTCTCGGCTCGGCACTCCAGGTGGGTGATGTACTCGGGCCGGCGGCAGATCTTCTGTCCACTGCGGATGATGTTGCTGTAGGTTTCCACGTCTCCTCCGTGGGGCCCCGGATATGGGAAGTCCACGTCGAACCACTGGGTCCACGTGCACTGTGGCTGGCAGCTGGTGGTCCCCGATGTGGGGTGGGTCGTCTGAGGTGCAGGCACAGGGGTTGTGGTGGTTATGGGAGCTGAGGTGGTGCTGGTTTCCGGCACGGGGGTGGTGCTGGTTTCCGGCACGGGGGTGGTGCTGGTTTCCGGCACGGGGGTGGTGCTGGTTTCCGGCACGGGGGTGGTGCTGGTTTCCGGCACGGGGGTGGTGCTGGTTTCCGGCACGGGGGTGGTGCTGGTTTCCGGCACGGGGGTGGTGCTGGGGTTTCTGGCACGGGGGTGGTGCTGGTTTCCGGTACGGGGGTGCTGGTTTCCGGCACAGAGGTTGTCCTGGAAGTGGCCACGTGGGAGGTTGTCTCAGTAGGACTGGTGATGCTCACAGTTGGGGTGCTGGGTGTTGTGATTGGTTCGAAGGTAGGGCAGCCTGGTTGGGGCTCACAGCACAGCACGCGGATCTCGTAGTTGAGACACATCTGGAACCTGCCCATCTGGTCTC